CCTGCTCACTCTGCTCCAGCCACACAGGCCTTCTTGCTGTTCCTCCAACACCAGCCATGGTCCTGCCCCAGGGCCTTTGCACGGGCTGTGCCCTCTGCCTGGAATGCTCTTCCTCCAGTTCTCTGCAGACTGGCTCCTTTTCATTTTCCAGGTCTCAGCACAAACGTCACCTCCTCAGAGACACACTCGCTGACACCATCAGCTGAAACAGCCCCTCCCCTCTCAGCGACACCATCCAGTCTCACTGTCCTCAGGGCACTTGTTATATTGGATTTACTTTCTTTCCCGAGTTAGTGGCCATGTTCCCATTGGGTGTGAGCTCAGCAAGGCAGGGCCTGCTTGGCCTTGCTCATTGCTGGGTACCCAGCACCTGGCACATAGGAGGCACACATAGTCGGAGCTCATCTGTCAGCTCGTGGAATGAAAGCCAAGACCCCATCCCTCCAATGAGATCAGGACCAGAGGCCACAAGCTCCTGCTTTTCAAAGTAATTTCTTTTTCTAGAGTAAGAAAAGAACAGGACCAGGCCTGGCATTGTCTGTATCCTCTTGTTTAAATGTTCAACCCTCAGGGAGAGAGAATAGCATCTGTGTCTCACACATGGGGAAACCGAGGTTCAGAGAGGGCACATGAGTGAGTGAGTGAATGAAGAGATGGATGCTGTGGCAATCTTCATGGGCAAAAACTCAGACGGGCTATCTCAACTGCCCCCGGGGACACTGACCCAGCCTTCAGGAAAAAGGGAGAAGGTTCTGAAACTATCAGAAGACATGTGGCCTGGTGAACTCCTATATATCCGTCATAGTCCTAGCTGCAATGTCCCTCCTCAGTACGTCTTCTCTGATCCCCACTAGGCAGAGACAATTTTCCTAGCCCCATTTTGTCCCAACTCTGATCCCACGTAGCAAAGAGGGCCAGTGTCTGCCCATTTCCCCTCCTTGAGCCTGGACAACCCTTGAGCACCAACCAGACACTAGAGTTAAACTTTTTCCTCTGGGATCTCAGCATCACCTGCCCAGGGCATGGCATAAGGAGCCGCTGGGAGCATCTGTTTAGTCACTCATCTCCCCAACTGCTTTAGACCAGGTCTCTCCCAGGGCCCTCCTGAGAACCCACGAACCCACAATCCCCCCTGGGATCCTGCAGTTGGGGAGTTCTTTCCTAGGTCTGCCCTTGGAAGGCAGGCTCAGCCTGGGACAAGATGCATCCTGGGATATGTAGTCCTCACTAGACTGAGCTTTCCTCCCAGCAGGCCCTGGGGCTACCACCTTTGGACCCTGAGCCAGTGAAGGAGGTTCAAGGTTGGCTGGGGTGGAGAGGGTGCCCTGTATCACTGCCTAAAGAGATGGAAGAGGCGTCTTCGGCCTCCCAAGTCACCTCCTCAGCACATTCTAATGACCGCCACTTCGTTTGGACATCCCTCAAGGGCAGGTGATGAACGACTGTGATAATAAGAGAGAATAATGTGGCTCAGGCCCAGACCTCTCAGGCCACACATCAAACCCTGGCTCTGGAAGCCAAACCTACACTGATCACAATGGCGGGGGTGTCTAGCGCGGGGATCTGAAGCTGACGCCTAGATATTAATAATTTGATCACAGGATGTGGGGCAGGTGGCAAGGCTGTCTTGAGCCTCAATGTCCCTGCTTCTGCTAAATGAGGTCCCACCCACAGTCAACCCCAATCACCGCTGGGTCTTGGATGAATCAGTCTGAGAATCCGCAGTCCCTGAAATGGCTAGAAATTTGGAATCACTATATCCTAAACATTTTCTCAGCATTCTGGAAAAATGGCTACCCAACCCCACTTGCTTGCCTCCCTGGACGGGTGACTCTCCACCCTTCTGAGAAGCCCACTGGGTTTACAGGAAACTGTCTCCTGGTAGCTACCCTTCCTCATATCTGCTCAGGGTCTGAAACTCTGCCATTCCCCGCTCTGCTCTGCAACCTTCCATGGCTCCCTATTGCCCTTAGGATAAAGCCTGCTCCTCAACTTGGCATCCACGGGCCCTGCCGTCTCTCAGGACTCGTTGCTCATTGTAGCCCAGCCTTAAAATAGAGCAGCCATTCAACAGTCCCCCAACACACACCTCTGTGGCTTTCCCTGTTGCTCTCTCCACCTGGAATCAGGGTCCCCCTCTCCTTCTGGCAACATCCTTCAAGCCCAGTGCCAATATCCCCTCCTCCAGGCAGCCTCCCCTGCTTCCACCTGTCCTGATCCTGGCTGAGTCCTCTCTGGGTCCCCATCATCACCTGGCAAAGGGCCAGGAACACAGGACAGGGCCAGCCACACAGGACAGGGCCAGCCACACCCCGGGGTCAGCTAGGGACACTCTCCTTCCCAAGAGATGGGCAGTGACCGGCACGTCTTTCAGCCCCCGGGGACCCAGCTTACCTGTCCCGCCAGCTGACGTCAGGCTCACCTTTGCAAGGACAGTTTGATTTCTATCTTCTTGGTCTAGCCCCAGCTCACCCCAGCAACTCCCCGTTCAAGCCCTGGGTGGCCAGTGCAGATGCCAAAGCCTCCTACAGCCCAAGTATCCAGCACCTTCTTTCCCCAGTGGACAGAGGTGAACAGTCCCTCCCTGGTGACTCAGTACCGCCGCTGGGAAACACCCTCTCGCCTCCAGGCAGAGGAGGTGACAGGACAATGAGGCCCATGGGTACTTAGCCCTGGCAGAAGGCAGGTGGGGACCAGAGGGAGAGGTTACATACCCAGGGTATTCCGTGGTACATCTCTCTGCCTCATCTCCTTCCACTCAGGTCCTAGAACCAAGAGCACTTTCTGGGGTGATTGCAGCCCAGAGAGGGCTAGCAACCTGTCTGAGGCCACACAGCAGTACCCCTCTTCTCACGCCCTGGTCTTCTCTATGGTGCTTTTTTTTTTTTTTCTGAGAGGGGTGGGGCGTTGGATCCTCCAGGTCTAATGTCTGCCCTGCCCAGGTCAGTGGGGTGGGGGTGGGGGACTGGGGTTTCCAAGGAAACGTTTGGGCTGGTGTTTTGGGTTTCAGCTGATATAGGGGTTCCTTTCCCCCTTGACCCCACCTAGCAGCCCCAGCAGTGGAGGGGACTGGCTTCCCTCTCCATCCATCCTGCCACCTCCCTGAGCCTCAGTTTCCCGGTCTGTTCAGGGGAACAGGTCAGCTCAGCAAGTACATGCTACAGTTTAATGAGCCTCCTGCCAGGCTGCCACCTGCAGGATATCCAAGGGGGTCTCCTCTGGGCCACAGGGATCCCCAGCTACTTTCCCAAAGAGCTCAGGACCTTCTCCCAGGAGAATCCTGACCCCACCCATGGCCTCCAGCCACTTTCCCATACCCCATACTCTGTCTATACAGTGTTTCAGCCATCCCTCAATTACATCCAAAAATTTCATCTTGAAAGACACAATATCTACAGGGCTGTGGGAAAGAGGCTAGCCAGCATCTGCAGGGAAGGGGACGCTGCAGGGGTACTGAACTTTGATTCTGAAGAGCACACTGTACCCCTTGAGAAACTGAATGAACCCAGAAACATACAAAGCATTGCAATTTTGCAAACTGGGGGCCCTTCGGAAACCCCAGCCATTAGTCCCCTCTTCCTCCTTAAATCCCAAAAGAGACCCCCAAAACTTGAGGGCTCAATCCCCTAACCCCCAGCCCCAGTTCCCCTCCAGTCCAGGTGTTAAAGATAACAGCCTCAGGGGGAGGATGTCAAAGACCTCAGTGAGGGGCTGAGGGTCTGGGAGTCACCCCCAACCCCAGGACTCTTGCAAATACTCCTAGCTTCAGTGTCTACACGACAGGGCAGGGGCAGAGTAGGGGGGTGGGCCTATGGCAGCGCCCCACCTAGAAGGTGCCCCAAACCCGGAGGGCACCCCGAGGCGGGACAGGGGTTGCGAGACCCCCTCCCTCGAGACCAATCACCGCTCACAGGAGGGGGCCACATTCGGCGCCCCCCACCCCTCCCAGCGCACTCCGAGAGAAAGACGCTTTCTTTGTCCCTTTGTCAGCTCTTGGGGGGCCCCGAAACCTGGGCCCCCACTGCAGCAGGGGGTGGGGGTGATCCGGACCGGTTGACTCTCTCCCCCCGCAGCACGCCCCCCCTCCCTCCGCGGCCCCAGCCCTGGACTGCTTCTGGGCCGGGCGGGCGTGAGGCTAGAGAGGGCTCAGGGGCGCCCAAGGTGCCACCGATGGACTGTGGAGTGGGGCAGAGGGGCCTCGCTTCGCCAGGACCACCGCACCGGCCCCTCGACTTAGCACTCAGGGCTCCGCCCCCCAACAGCATCCCCCATCCCCGGCCAGCAGGCCCCCTGCCTGCCCTGAACACCCCCACCTGGGCCCCAATCCAGCTCTCCAGCGGCGCAGCCGCGAGCCCCCGTTATTGTGCTTTCTACGGCGCCCCCCACGGACAAAACCTCCACCCTCTGTGGTACCGACAGAACCCCCATTATAGCTCCACATACAGGCCCCCCGTCAACAATCCAGGCCCCCCCAGCTGCGGTGCCATTAGACACCCCCATTACGGAGTCTCATTCAGCGACCCAGGCCCAAATCCAGACCCTTCAAAGCGTCTGACTAGTCCCCCATTCTATCACTCCATGCTGAGACCCCCCCGAAAATCCAGCCCCCTCCCCAGTTGCGTTGCCGACAGAACCTCCCGTTACAGCGCTCCACAGACCCCCTCCCCGGCCCAATCCATCCCCCTCCCAGTGGCTGGGTCCTCAGCGTCTCCCCCCATCATAACGACCCGGCCACCTCAGCCAACAATTAAGGCCCCCAGCTGCGTGCCGACAGACACCCCCAGGATAGCGCCTCCCCAGCCCCCCTTCTTGCAGACGCCCCGGGGCGCTTACCTCGGAGCCGCGGCCGCCGCGAGTGCGCGGGAGGGAGCGCGAGGGCGGGAGGGCGCGGGTGGTGGGGGGGTCGGTGCGCGCACCTGTCCCGGCCCGGCCGGCTCAGCCAGGCATCCCGGGGTGGGGAGGGGGGCTGGGGGCGCGCGCTCTCCCCGCCCCCGGGCCCAATGCGCTGCGCTGGGGGAGGGGGCTCAGCCCCGGCCCCCGGCGCGCTGGCGTCGGCTCCGGGGGGGGCGCTGCGCGGCGGCCGGACCGGGGGCGCGCCGCGGCCGCATCTCCTCTGCCCGCCGCGGCCGCCGCTGCGACTCGCGACTCCGCCACCTCCGCCCCCCCTCGGCAACCCCCCCACCTTACCGAGCCGGGCCGGAGCGGCGCAAAACCTGGCCCGGAGCTTGGGCGGCGCGGAACGGAAGGCGGAGCCGGGTGGGCGGCCCGAGGCGCTGGGGGCAGGGCCGGGGGTGCGTGTGGAGGAGCGACCCAACATAAATCACTCTGCTTTGGTCCGGGTGGAAGGTCTAATTGCCGGCCCCCTCCCCAATTTACTGCCCGGGTCCACTCTGGCCAACCTGCATCCTCAGGATCCACCCTCTGTGAGATGCTAGAGATGACCGGGAGACTGCGGTGTCGGGAACCCCGAGGGTCTGCATGGCCCTCTTCATTTATGAGGTCATTTACTCAGTCCACAGATTATATTTAACAACACTCAACAGGCACGTAAGGAAACTGAGGCATGGGAAGCATCTTGTCCAAGGTCACCCAGTTAGAAAGTGGCTGAACTGGGGTTGAACAGAGCAAAGCTGGCTGCAGAGACTATGGTACACAGCCCTGGAGACTCTGATCCCAGAGCCCAAAGGACCGTGACCAAGAAAGAGATTGTGTGTGTGTGTGTGTGTGTGTGTGTGTGTGTGTGTGTGTGTGTTGGGGGGGAGGTTGGCTGCAGCGTCCTCATAGCCGGTGGGGAGCACTCCTCTCCCCTGCCTTTGGGACTCCGAGACAAACTGGTCTTTCTGCTTCAGAGACCTCCCGGGGACCTCCCTTCCTCCCTGTGACCTCAGAACAGCAGAAGCCTTTGAGCACCTCAGTGTCCCTCTGTGTCCAAAGCATGTCCCCATGTGGGTGTGACCATGGATGTCTTCCCCACTAGGTTGCATGCTGTCCTGGTCCCTCTGACAGCTCCAGTATACAAGAGGTACTCAATAAAAGTTTGACCATTCTGTGTGGTTCAGATGGTAAAGAATTCACTTGCAATGCAGGAGACCAGGGTTCAATCCTTGGGTTGAGAAGATTCCCTGTAGAAAGGAATGGCTACCCACTCCAGTATTCTTGCCTGGAGAATCCCATGGACAGAGGAGCCTGGCAGGCTACAGTCTGTTGTGTATTTATCTAGTGACATCTCTTGCACACCTGCTGAGTGCTTATGTTAGATGCATAAATGGCACTGTTCAGTCTTCAAGGCAGTCATATGAGGCTCCCATAGACTTGGCACAGAAAGATCCACCAGCTGGCACAGGTCTGCTTGCCTCTGCTTCCTGAACACCTTTGGTGTGTAAGTCCGGGGACTCAGGCAAGCTGTGTGGCTTCCCAGTGGCATACACACTGGGACACTAGATCCTGGGCCACCTGCAGCCTCCCTGACATCCATGGAGACAACCCCATCCTTCCAGGCCCCGGGCATCTGCCCAGGGGCCGTCCTGTCGACCACAAACCTCCGCCAGCAGCCAGGCCTTCCTGCCGGTGGTTTTGCTCTGACCAGCTTTCCGGCTGAGCCAGAGTCCCAGGCAAATCAGCCTGCACCTGCCTGCAGCCATTCAGACTTGATCCCCTTGCATCCTGGGGAGACTGAGGCCTGCCTTGCAAAGGGGATGGGGAACAGGCACCCCAGCTTGGCTTCCAGGCTCTGCATTTTCCTCCCACCTCTGAACCATTCTTGGCCCAACTGGGCTTCTCTGCAAAAACGTTCCTTCAGCAAACATTTATTATCTACTGTGCACCAAGAGAAGGGGAAACAGAGGACGAGATGGTTGTATGGCATCACCAATTCGATGGACATGAGTTTGAGCAAGCTCTGGGAGTTGGTGAAGGACAGGTAAGCCTGGTGTGCTGCAGTCCATGGAGCCGCTAAGAGTCAGGTACGACTGAATGACTGAACAACAACTTTGTGCCAAGTACTGAGCTGAGCAGTCAGCAAAGCAAACTGGCTCATGCCTACAGTCTAGGAGGGGAGACAGAAGAATCTGCTGGCGACTTCAAGGTAGAGATAGATGAGAGCGGCCCAGAAGGACGAGGAGGTGACCTGGGGGCCATAGAAGGACCCCGGACAGATCTGACGGAACACACAGGGTCCAGGGGGTGGTGGGAAGTCAGCTCGTACTAGGCAGAGGGACCCGCCAGGACAAAAGGCCCTGAGGGGGGCCCCACCCCCGCGGCCCGGCTCAGCTGCCACCCAGGCTTCAGCACTCATGAATGAGTCTTTCATGCCCTGGACCGGGGCAAGGTCAGACTTGGCTGCTCCCTCCCCCGCCCTGGGCTCCTGACTGTCTGAGCCTTGACCTGGAAGAGGGTGGCAGGAAGTTCACAGCTTGCCCGCCGGGTGAGCCAGGGAGGCCCAGTTAGGGGGCAGAACCAGCAGCGTCCTCACAATTGTGTGACACTGAGCAAAGCCCCGCCCCTCCCGGCCTCAGTTTCTCAGGCCAGGTGGGTCTGCGCGGCGCTCCACTCCAGCTCCGACCCAGGAAGAATCCAGCGCGGGTTTTGCGGGTGCCCGGCGGCCACCAACACCTTCCTCCCTGGGCGTCCCGGCCGCGGCCCCGGGTCCGAGGGGTCCCGGGGAGACCTGGAGTGGGTCAAGCGGCCTTTGGGTTCCCCGGGATGGGCTGAGGCTTATCCCGGCCTTGGTGCCTAGCGCCTGGGGGTGCTTGGAAACCCCGCCCCGCTGCGTGCGCGCCCCCAATCAGCGCTCCCCATCTAGCCGCCCCACTGTGTGACTCCGGCCGTGCCTGCCCCTCTCTGGGCCTCGCAGGAGCCTGGCGGCTCGACTGGGGCTCTCAGGGGGGGTCAACTGGGTTCCTCCCCCTTCCTGGAGCGTCCCAGCCTTGGTTTCCCCAGTCAGGTCTGGGCCCTCTTTTAAGCCCAGGTTGGGGGTCGTAGGTGCTGGGTCGCGGCCCCGGCTGGGGCCTGGGAATCCCCCGGGGGTTCGGAAAGGGCAGCTCCGATTGGCTGAGACTGCCTGTGACGTCAGGGCCTCCCCGACGCCCCCTCCCCCAAGGCACGTGGGGGTGGCCGCCTCAGGGGAGGGGCTCGGGGTCCGGGCGGATTCGGGGTGTCCCCCTAGTCTGAGCCGGCAGCTGGGCAGCCCAGACGCGATTCTCCTCGGACAGATTTTTCACTCGTCCCAAATCCCCCTCCACCTCCCCCCAGAACGGCAGCTGTTCCGGCGGCAGATGCGCTGGCTAAATCCGCCCAGCTGGTCCTTCCGCAGACCTAACCAACCTAGAGCCAGTGAGCGGGTAGGGGTGTGCCTGTGCGTGTGCGGCTTGGCCTTGACCTATCCCTGCCCCTTGCCCTTTGACCCCTGCCCGCTGCAGGCATTTTGGGGGACTCCTCACCTCAGGTTCAAAAGCACTCCTGGGACCCTGGGGGACCTGGTGCCCAGAGAGAGTGTGGCTCTTTCCCGAAATGACACAGCCACCCCTAGGCCTGCTGCCTAGAAAATGACCCATGTAATGAGTATATTAATTATTACAATGAAGAGTTAAGACTTAGTGAGCACCTACTATAAGTAGCCCCATGATTCTAGAGCGTGACTGCATTTTTTTATCCCATTTTCAGGTGTGGAAACAGACCAGAGAGAAACGACTTGGCCACTCACATAGCCAGGAAATAAAGCTGGAAGTTGAACCCCATGCTTTAAAAAAAAATACTTAATTAAATTAATTTCTTTATTTGTGGCCACGCTGGGTTTTTCTTACAGCACATGAGCTTTTCTCTAGTTGCCGCGAGTGGCAGACGGGCTTCAGTAGTTGTGGCTCACAGGTTTAGCTGCCCTGTAACATGTGGAACCTTAGTTCCTGGATCAGGGATTGAACTCGTGTCCCCTGCATTGGCAGGCGGATTCTTAACCACTGGGCCATGCTTTTAATCATTTAGCATGAACCCCATGCTTTTAATCATTTCCACGGACTCAGGGACCTCCTAGCTTGGAAGGTGCTTAAAGCAAGTGATTTAGGATCCCTCACTTGAGGTGATCCCAAGAAGGGTCTTGATGACTTCCTCCTCTCCCTCTGCCTGCGCACTGCTGAGCCTGACTTTGTTGCACCGTGCATCATGTGGGCTCTTAGTTCTCCAACCAGGGATCGAACCCGTGCCTCCTGCACTGGGAGCATTGGGAATGTGAAGTTTTAACCACTGGACTGCCCAGGAACTCCCATGGATGCCTCTGTCATCTGGAAACACTGAGGATCCTGGGGGGCCACCCAGAAGAGGAAACTCCACTCTGAAATGCTGGGGCATAACTTTTAAGGGCTTGATGGTGTCTCTGAATGGGTTTCCCTGGTGGCTCAGATGGTAAAGCATCTGCCTGCAATGCGGGAGATGTGGGTTTGATCCCTGGGTTGGGAAGATCCCCTAGAGAAGAGAATAGAAATGCACTCCAGTGTCCTTGCTGGGAAATCCCACAGACAGAGGAGCTGAATCGGACACAACTGAGCAACTAACACTTTCACTGAAAGTAGTTTATGTACTGAGCTTGACCTGCCCCCAGGGCCTTTGCACTTTCTCTTCTTTACCTGGAATGGTTTTCCCTCTCCCACAGATATCCATGTGGCCCCTCTTCTCTTCCAAGTCTGAGATCTCAAATGTTACCTCCAAAGCAAGGCCACCCTGACCTTGCACCTACAGCAACACACTGTCCCTTTTTATCTTCTTACCCTCCTCTGGTTTTCTTCATCCTATTTTTCACAACCAAACATTGTTTATTATCTCCCCCACAGCACTGTTTTATTCCCTGATGAATTTCTATTGACTAAAACAACACCTAGTTGTTGTTGTTTGGTCACTAAGTGGTCACTAAGTGTTTGAGACCCCATGGACTGCACCACCCCAGACTTCCCCATCCTTCACTATTTCCCAGAGTTTGTTCAAACCCATGTCCATTGAGCCGATGATGCCATCCAATCATCTCAGCCTCTGTTGTCCCCTTCTGCTCCTGCCCTCTATCTTTCCCAGCATCAGGTTCTTTTCCACTGAGTTGACTCTTCGCATCAGGTGGCCAAAGTATTGGAGCTTCAACTTCAGCATCAGTCCTTCCAATGAATATTCAGGGTTGATTTCCTTTAGGATTGACTGGTTTGATCTTCCTGCAGTCCAAGAGACTCTCAAGAGTCTTCTCCAGCACCACAGTTCGAAGGCATCAATTATTCAGTGCTTAGCCTTCTTTATGGTCCCACTCTCAGGGTACTTAATAATTGCTTGTTATACAGAAATCTTAGGGACATAGATGTGAATGGGGGCTGGAGGGCAGAAGGCAGCTCTCAGGAAGGCCCATACAGTAGTTCTTTTTGTTTGTTTGTTTTAGTATTTATTTATTTATTTGTGGCATGCAGGATCTTTTAGTTGTGGTGTGTGAACACTTAGTCGTGGCCTGTGGGATCTAGTTCCCTGACCAGGGATTGAACCCAGGCCTCCTCCACTGAGAGCACAGAGTCTTAGCCACTGGACCACCAGGGAAGTCCCTGGTAGTTCTGGCTTGCTGTCTGTCTAGGAGCCTCAGTCATGACCCTGTCTTGTGCCCCTTTCATCCGGTCCTCCCCAGGACCCCCTCCATCACTCTGCTTCAGCCACACTGAATTCCTTCTTCCTCACTGTTCCTCTAACTTGTCAGTCAAGCCTCAGGGCCTTTGCACTGGGTGTCCCTGCCCCCAGTAGAGTCATTTTTCCCTCAGATATCTGAATGGCTCCAGGTCTCAGCTCAATGTTCCCCCAACACACCCTCTGTCTAAACAATCACTCCCTTTTCTCTGTTTGGATTGCTTTGTTGTACAATTTTTTAAATTTAATCTTTTATTCTTTTCTTTTTTTCCGGCCACATGGTATAGCACATGACATTCATTCCCTAACCAGGGATTGAACCCATGCTCCCTACAGTGGGAGCACAGAGTCTTAACCCCTGGACCGCTAGGGAAGTCCCTGCTCTGCTGTACTTTTTTACCAAGAGTATTTCTTTTGCCTACCACTTGTTTCTCTTCCCATTTCCCCCTTCCCACACCCCTGCCCCCAGTCAGCTGTACCAGGGCAGGGCCAGAGTCTCCCTTGGTCAAGGCTGTGTCCCTGAGGTCTAGAACAGGGTCTGGCACACAGTAAGCACTCAACAAATGTGTTGAACAAATGAGTGAATGAATGAATGGGAGCCTGATAGCTCTACCTTCATTGTTCGGATGGGGAAACTGAGGCCAAGCTGGATCAGGAGCTCTGGGTCACTCAGTTCCCTGGGCAGCAAAATGGGGCAATGATGCCAACTCTTCAGGCTTGGGGAGGGGCATCCAGTGAGGTAATAACTTCAGGAGCACTTAGTAAGTGTGTGCACTGCACAGCTCCAGGGACAATACACATTTTGAACCAGAGCAAGGATTTCAACTCAGCATGCCTGGCCCCGGAGTTTGCCCAAGTACCTCTCCACTGCAGGGGAGAGGGTATGTGTTAGTCAGGCCAGCCTGTATGCATAGCAGGCCTTCAGCCAGGCAGCCAGCCGGGATGGCTGGGGGTTGCCCAGCCTGAGACCCTCTCTCCAGCCCCTTGGATTGAGCTGATTGTGTGTCTGGCTGGAGCTCCAAGTACCACACTCACATACCCCCCGGGAAACAGTAGAGAGAGAAGTGGCAGGAGCCACTGCCTGATTTGTAAGTAAAACTTCAAGCAATTACAGGGCTTTCTTCCTGTCAGAGTCAGCAACATCCCCAGAAAGGCCTGAGTGTGTCCAGGGTCCTCCCAGAAGCCCATGCGCCAAGGCCTCATCTGCATATGCAAATGAGGCAAGGGGTATCCTAGTCCCCAGAAGGAGGAAGTGACAAGGGGCCTAGGGACCACTGAGCTCCCCGGGGTCTGTCCTGGGGGTGGATAGGAAACTGAGGCACAGAGGGGTCAGTGTCACTTGGAGGGAGGGGGAAAAGGTGTCACATTCTCCCTGTTCAAAATCCACCCTCCACTGTGGGCTTCCCTTCCCAGCCGAGATGACATGTGGAGCTCAGCGTCACACCAGGGCCTTTGCACTTGCTGTTCCCGCTTCTTGGGAAATCCTCATGTGTTTGGCCAATGTCCTACTCTCTAAGAGGCCTTTTGTTAATTCATTTTTTAAATCCACGATGGAGTGGTGAGCTGCCCTTCATCAGGAGCAAGCAAACTGGAGGTAGAATGAGCATGGACTCTGCAGGAAATCTTAAAACTCCTACAACATGGATGAACCTTGAGGAGTGATGCTCAGTGAGAGAAGCCAGACACAGAAGGACACACACTGTCTGATTCCACTCACAGGAGGTCCCTGGAAGAGTCAGATCCACAGAGATGGTGGGGTCAGGGGCTGGGGGAGGGGACGGGGAGTCAGTGTTTCATGGGGACAGAGTTTCCATCTGGGAAGATGGAAAAGTTCTAGGCCGAGGTAGTGGTGATGGCTGAACAACAATGAGGAGGTATTTCATGTAACTGAACTGAACTTTTATAAATGGGTAAAATAATATCATCACACAATTAAAAAAAGGAAAGAAAATCAAAACTGTTATGGAGGGGAAAAAGAAACAGCCAGCAACAGTAAGGGTGTGTGTGAATGACCTCAGCTGGTAGCGACTCCGTCATTGCCACCAAGGCTCTCGACTCAACTGATGCTGATGTCAGTGTGGAGGTGCAATTTGTGAGCTCTGAGCTCACCCTCCACACCCAGGCTCCTTCGGCCCCACCTGGCACGAGCTCAGCTCCAGCTACAAACCCTCCAATGCCTTAAGGAAGCAAAGCCGAGTCCTGAGGTCTTGACCCTCATTGGTCTATTTATTCAGCTGACTTTATTGAGCACCTACTGTGTGCCAGGCTCTGCTGGGTGGTGCTGGCGACACAGCGGTGACCAAGACAGAGCCAGGTCCTGTCCTGGCCTGCTCACAGCTCAGGGCAGGATTAGATAGACTTATTTAACAAGTGTTGACTACCTGCTGGATGCCCAGCTGGTTCTAGTCATTGGGGACACAGCAGCGAACAGAAGAGACAGAAGTCTCTGGCCTTGTGGAGCTGACATCCCAGTGGGATTGACAGACAAGAAGCAACATAAATGAGTGAGATCTATTCTGGGCTAGAGGGTAAGGTGAAAAAACTGAGCAAGGGAAGAAGATGAGGGGACTTCCCTGGTGGTCCAGTGGTTATGACTCCAGCTTTCAATGCAGGGGTGTGGGTTCAATCCCTAATCAGGGAACCAAGGTCCCACATGCTGGGGTATGTGGCGAAACAAGCTTTTTTTAATTAAAAAAAGATGGGGGCCTTGCCTAAGGTGGGGGAGATATTTAGCGGTGGTAGTCAGTGAAGGCCTCATGGAGGAGGTGACATCTGAAGGAGATAATGGAGAAGATCATGCAGGTATGTGGGGGGAAGTCAGCTTTGGATCGAGGGAACAGCCAGTGCAAAGGCCCTGGGGCAGGACCATTCCTGATCTGTTAGGGGAGGCCTCTGTGGCAGG